CCCCCTTGTGCTGGTTTGATTTCGATAAGGCCGCTACAAATTCAAAGTACTTGTGGTGGTTGGTCAAAATGAACTTCTGCCGACCAACTGTTGCTTTCCAAGTGAAGGTTGAGGCCATATCCGAGGAAAGAACCATGTTCTTCATACCAGCCAAATAACCGTCACATACATTACCACACATCTCTTTGAATTGTTTGAAGGACTTTCCAAACAAACAAGTTTTCAACTCCAAGTTGTTTTCATCATTGAAAATCTTGGAGTCAATACAGTTGACGGTGGCGACACTACTGGAATTGGCTTTGGAAGAGGCGGTGCGTTTGGTAGGCTTGGGAGCGGGCATATCGACAGGCGCCTCATCGTTGGTATAGATCTTGAAGAGAACCACAACAGTCGCCTCATTGTTGCGATCGAACTGCTCGCGTTGGGTGGTGCCAACACGGTGCAAGGGATCGTGTTGGGGATGACGAGCGGGGGCGTCATCACCGGTCAAGTGGTGGTTAGATGGCTCTAGGACTGAAGTCGTAATAAATCAGCATGGCTATGTTGAAAGGAATTGAGAGAGACAAAGAAAAGAAAAAAATAAACTCACGGCCAGGTCTGACATTTGCTTCAAAGTCCGCAATGGCATCGTTTACAGTGATGATCGCAGTTGATTGCTGGGTGGTGTTGACAGAGGTCATGGGGGTAGTTTCGTTTTTGATAGACATGTTCTAGGGAATAAACACAAGAGAAGATATCAGAAAAAAAAACAGGATGAACAAGTGAAAGAAAAAATCACACACGAAGATCTGGACTTTGTAAGAAGAGCAGAAGGTTTTTAGATGGTTTAATAAGACTTTTGGATATTGGATGGTAACCTGATTCGATGATATGATGAAGTTGGTTGAGATCGAAAGAGGAATATGGTGGTTGAGGAGGCTCCTTTTATTGCTGAGTTGAAAGTCCTGGGGGACCCTCATTGCGTAAGATGGATGTTTTTTTTGGTACCAAAAAAGACTTGAATGTCAAGATCGGTTCCGATTTGAACCAAAGGAAGCTTGTTGAGCTGAGATTCGAAGATTTTCTGCCAAAAAACATGAAATACAAGATTGGTTCGTTAGCTTGTTGAGCCGTGATTGAAAGGTTTTCTACCAAAAAAACTTGAAATACAAGAAAGATCGGTTCCGATTTCAAAAGCTGCTGACTCGTGATGGGAAGTTTTTCTACCAAAGCGCATGGAATGAATCAGTTCACGTAATGGTTTGTGAAATAGACACCATAGATCCCATGATAGAGAGAGATGACCCACATTAAAAATTTAAATGCCGATAGGAAATGATCGGGTGGTGGGAAAAGTCTTGGATGTTGATTTGGTGAATTGAGAAGAGGTGGGATTTGACAGTTGGTGGTCGTAGTCAACAGGATGAGCTCGGATCCGTTGGAAAGGCCAGACCAGATCGATGGTGTAACCAATAGTATTGGTTGACTGTCCAGAAAGAGGGAGGTCGAAAGGAATCGATGGTGAGTCCAATGGTATTGGTGGAGGTTGTTTAGCTCTTCTTACCGGATCACTTTCCGGAAAGAGAGAGGTCAAAGGAGAGAGGTCGAAAAGAGGGTGGTTGAAAGGGTATTGATTGTACATAGATCAATACAAACCGCGAGTGAGTCAGAGAGGGAAGGTGGGAACCTTTAACAGGTCCGAACGGACCTGTCAAAGGTGTATTGGCCCGGTATTTTGGTACAAAACTGGTCTATTTCTCACGTGTGTGTGATAGACAGTTGTTAGGTGGTAAGTCTATGTCGAATATGACTATGACTGGTGACTGAGCCCGTGCTTAAGGAACCTACAATACCAGGAGCGAAAGTTCTTCCACCTTAGACACAGACTTACATGTTTGTTTGTTTGTGTGTAAAGTGGTGTGGGGTGGGCCCCAGACAGGAGCAGAGGTATTATAAGATCCTCAGATCATACCTCGAACCTCTCTGAGGCGAGAACAGAGCTCTCGGAGATGTGGGCTTCTCAGCCCGGGAGGAGGGTGGGCTTTTTGAAGAAAAGAAGAGGGGTGAGAAGAGCTGAGCAGGAAGTCTCCCAGGGAGAGCTGTGAATTTTGGAAGCGTGGGAGGAGGAAAAATTTTTCCTTTCTCACGCTTCCGAACTTGAAACCCATCAGCTTCTTGGAGAGTCGGTGCGTGCCCCTATGAGAGCACGCGCCCTTCCTGCTTCTCACCCCTGCCCTCAGAAATAGACTCCTGTGTACCGTTGCGGGCTTTGGGAACACCGGTAATTTTAACCCGGGTTTTGTACTTTTGTACTTTTGACAGACACAACACAAAAAAAAAAAAAAAAACCGATAAATTCATGAAGCGCTGTAAGCTAGGTCATTACATTTATGCACATCAGAAGATTGATGACGTCGTTTGCAAGGCCAAAAGGTAATAGAATAAAGCCATGTACATGGACCTAGCAGTATCACACATACAATCAAAAGGTCTTTTACGTGTATATTTACATGACCTCACGAGATATGTATCATGTATGTACGTATAATACTGATCAGTGGGGTAGTAGTACCTAAATAAACGAATTTTTCGAAAAAAAAGATTAAAACATGAAGAAGGGGAGCAATCCAAATATTGCCTTAACAAACTGACCATGAAATTAAAAGCTCTATCTCCCTCGCGAGATTCTAAGCTTTGTTGAAGTTTTCAACAGTACTTTTGGTAAGTTTGAGGCTCAAGTTGCAAATATCAAAAATTCGAAATGTGAGCTCAGGTAGTGAAGATGAAGAGCAATCACATTTCTGCCTTAACAAAGTGGGCTTATTTTTTGAATTTACATCTTCTCACACGGAAGACTAAGCAAAATAGTGCTTCTATCTATGTTATTTTCAGAGGTTTGAGGTTGGAGTGTGATATACAAAGATGAAAAACAACTCATAAAGGGATGTGGATGAAGAGATTGAGTGGCATGTCAATAATAAAATTTGTTCAGCTTTCTGGAAAGAATATTTTTCATTAATGCCATTTTCCCACAAGTGTTCATCTTCAAAGTTTTTTAGTATGTTTTATGCTTGAGTGGTGGAATCTGCACCAAATTGGGGCTTCAATGTGGAATATGGATATGAAGATAGAGACTTGGAAGGTCCATTGAATAGTGAGAAGTGTTCAGCTTTCTGGAAAGAATATTTTTCATTAATGCCATTTTCCCACAAGTGTTCATCTTCAAAGTGTTTACTTGATTTTTATGGCTGAGCGGATCAATTTGTACCAATTCAACACTTTGTTTTGGAATAAAGTGATGAAGATGAAGAGACTGAAAATCAAGTGAATAATGAATATTGTTCATCTTGCAGGAAAGAACCTTTTTCATTAGTGGTATTTATCCATAACTCTGCATCTACAGAGTGCTTATGTGGGTTTTATGCTTGACGTGTGAGGAAGGACACCTTTTTTGAGTAAGGAAGCTGAATTATGATAATGAAGATGAGGAGTATTGTTGAAAAGTCATTATTGAAAAGTGTGCAGCATGCAGTGAAGCACATATTTCATTATAAACTTTTTCACATAAATCCAACTCTTCAACTTGCTAGTGTGATGTTTGACCTTGATTTGAGGTCAAATATTTGAAATAACAGTGATGCAAGTTTTGTCAAACAATGTATCCCGGGTTTTTGGACAAGATTGTGACCACAAAAGTAAGTCTAAAAGGGTGAAGAGGTGGAGTTATGAAGAAACTATTTCAATGAAATATGTTCCTCCATAAGTGCTGCACACTTTTCAATAATAGTTTTTCTCCATCACTCCTCATCTTCATCATCATAATTCAGCATCCTTACTCAAAAAAGGCCTCTTTTCTCACCTCTTGAGCATAAAACCCACACAAGCACTTGGTATGTGCAGAGTTATGGATAAATACCACTAATGAAAAAGGTTCTTTCCTGCAAGCTGAACAATATTCATTATTCACTTGATTTTCAGTCTCTTCATCTTCATCACTTTATTCCAAAACAAAGTGTTGAATTGGTACAAATTGATCCGCTCAGCCATAAAAATCAAGTAAACACTTTGAAGATGAACACTTGTGGGAAAATGGCATTAATGAAAAATATTCTTTCCAGAAAGCTGAACAAATTTTATTACTGACATGTCACTCAATCTCTTCATCCACATCCCTTTATGAGTTGTTTTTCATCTTTGTATATTACACTCCAACCTCAAACCTCTGAAAATAACATACATAGAAGCAATATTTTGCTTAGTCTTGCGTGTGAGAAGATGTAAATTCAAAAAATAAGCCCACTTTGTTAAGGCAGAAATGTGATTGCTCTTCATCTTCACTACCTGAGCTCACATTTCGAATTTTTGATATTTGCAACTTGAGCCTCAAACTTACCAAAAGTACTGTTGAAAACTTCAACAAAGCTTAGAATCTCGCGCGGGAGATAGAGCTTTTAATTTCATGGTCAGTTTGTTAAGGCAATATTTGGATTGCTCCCCTTCTTCATGTCTTAATCTTTTTTTTCAAAAAATTCGTTTATTAATTGGGAGTGGTACACGGATATCAATGGATGAAAGGCTTTTAGTTTGCTTGAACCGTGATTTCAAGTACGTAAGTCAACTTGGGGTGAAGTGCGAACTTGAAATCACTTCAAGTTCATTTTGTGCTTTCCTACGAGTTAAATCTATGTATGAGAACTCTTATCATCATGCCAATGTCCGTCAACAATGATGTCCGACATCCTCTTGACTTGGCATTATGTAATTCAAAATGGATGACCGATTTCATTAGACCCAATTGCATTCCCAAAAGGGGGTTCCTGGATGATTGATTCCGATACACAAACCCCTTTGGGAGGATCCCAGCCCATACCACGTGCTATTTACTATTTCAACATCAAGTGTTCCTTAGCAAAGGTTCCTTAGTTTCTTTTTAATAGTCCATCACTGTAATTTGATTGGATTCGTATTGCCCCCTCCTCTGGATATCATCTCTTTCATTTCGGTGAATCTTACATATCGAGATGGCACCTGGCGAACCAAACAATCCGCGGTGTCCAGCGAATGCTTTGAAAAAGCCGAGATACAACTCAAGTCAATCTTCTCGAATGTTGTCAGAATGGGAGAAAGCTGAAGAGGATTGGTGTAATAAGAAATGTGAATCACTTAGCCGTGCACTAATGCAAACCGAAGTTCCTAGGCCGTCAACTAGTACCGCCGATGATTTAGATTTGGTGAATGAAGATGATGAACTCGATTACGATCATCAGTTTCACGTTGAAGACAATGAGGATGACCAATCTCCCTCCGACATAAATGAGTCCGATACCAAATCAAACGATTCCCAGCAATCAATTGCCTCTAGCCCTGGCACAGGCTCTGTAGTTACTGCAGCAACTGGTGATATGAATCAAAAGCGTCGAATCCGAGAGGAGAGGCAGTGGAATGAGGTTATTGAACCCATGTTCAAGGTATTTATGCTATGCAAACAGATCACTTTCAATTGGAGTCGCGCCGATTGGGATTTGGATCGAAAAGCAGAGTGTCGATGTTCTGCCGCAAAGAAACGGACTCGGCACGTGGCTATGCTGGATATCTTGAGTTAATCATTCACCTTGACCCAAAATCCACAAGCATTATAATTTTTCTAATGGTATTTTGATCAATGACAGCGCACACGATTCAAGCGGTAGAATTCTGTGCATGCCAACCAGACCAGGTTCGACTGATCCTGATGGGATATATTGGGGGTTCTCCTGTCCAGCCCGAGATCGCATTTTCATTGCGACTTCTTCGACTACATGATGTCATATGGAAGTTTTGTGTCGTTTGCACACATCCTTTGGCACAGGCCTTTGATGAATTTCACCGGCCAGCTCGCGAGTTCGAAGAGGACGTGAAACACCAGGTTTGTCCTACATGTTATTTATTCGTAATTCCTGTTTTGGAACTGACTGAACAGTTCATATCCAGCCTGCCAGATGGGGACGGACTCTTTCGTGCTCCGTTGATGCGTACAGACGCCTGAATCAGTTGGAGAAAGACCTCCAGTTCCGAGCAATGGCTCTCTTGAAAAAAGAAAAGCTAGGCACGAATTGCCCCCGATGTTTTGGAGGTAATGAATTTTCGAAAGAGGAAAAAGAACCCGACTGTGTCGTTTGTATTGACGGCAACTTCCAGCAAAGAAGACACAAATCCGCCAGCGTTGAGGTCAGCGAGATTCCAATCCGATATCCTAACCTCTTCCTGCATCCAGATGAGGTCAATAAGTGGAATAGTGGTGTACACTCTTCTTCAAATGATCCACCGGTGAGTTAACATCAACATCATCATTATCATCATTTAAGCTGATATCCTTCATTTTCCGTTCTCAGGACCCTTGCACACAGATGCATACTGCTGCAAATGACTCACGTAGTGCCTCTACGTGGCGTGCCTGTGACGATACAGGCCTTTTGGCGATGGTGTGCCACCACGACCACGCTTTGGCCTTTGTTAATATAGTCCAGAGTGGTGAGAAGTAAGTTCTCATCACTGCTTGCGGTTGTATCTTTTAAAAAAAGCTTACTTTTGTAGGTCGTATTTTGCTCATGCTCTCATTGACTGGTTACTCGAGCAGTTGAATGAGACAGATTCGAGGGTAGCCTTCCTTTATGACATCGGATGTAATATTGAGAAAGGTCTGGTCCGAGTTGAGCATCTCCACTCGTTTTGAAATGCATCTATCATACTTTGAACCACTGACCGTTCATGTGACTATAGCACAACCTCTTTGCACAGGAGATATCAAAAGGTCGATTCAAATTTGGTACAAGCGTGTTCCACGCGTATGTACACAGTTGGAGTTGCCAACTAGATTACAACCCAAGAATCAACAACGGATGGGGCTTGTCGGATGGCGAGGGTTGTGAGCGGTGTTGGTGTAAACTTTGCAAGCTGGTTAGTCCTCTGCGATATTCCACAAAACAGCATCGAATAGATGCGCTGGACCTTAAAGCAGCACACGAGAATGGTATCTTGCGGACCAATTCTGGTAAGTCATATCATACATTCTTTCTTCACGCTTTAGACTCATCTTTTGTATTAATTTTAGCTCATTCGTGCCTAAACAAGTTGGAAACTGCTGAGAAAACGTGGGCGGACAAGCGTCATATTCTTGGAGCGCTTGGAATCAAGCGCGGTTACACCCACGCCTATTTTGCCGCACAGTGGTCTTGACAAAAACGAGTCCAGGCAGAGGTCATCGGTGACACAAATACACAGCTGTTGGAAGGTCAAATTGAGGAGCTGGTAGAACACCAAGAGGAGCTTCGAGAGGCAAAGTAATGACTTCTACTAGTTCAGCTTTATGATTATCATGCAAAGCTAACTGGGACTGGATGCGTCTACATCTACAGAGAGAAGAGGGACTACCTACGCAGACGTCGTCGAAGAACTGCCGCCGAGAATAGGACTCTTGCCAGCTTGCCTGGACACATCATCTTCTTGGAAGAGGAAGTGGAGCGAGTATCATTGGAACTTGGAAGTGACATCTTCTCAAACATTCCAGATGCCTCAGGTGAAAAGATTTTTATTGCATTAGTTCAATTTCAAATATTGACAACCATTTTATATACCAGACGCAACCCGTTGTTTGTTGCTACAGGTCAAAGTGGCAAAGTCGAACCTCTACGAGGCTAAGGTGGGCATCATTGAACTGTCCAAAAAATGGGAATCGGGTTTGTGGTTGCTTTTAAAAATACACTCGAAACCAGACAAAATGTGTGAGATCTGATTGGTGTTTCTGCTTTAACAGGTACTTCAATGCAGGATCGGATGAAGGGTATGATGAATACCAAGCAGAAGTTATTCCGAACAAAGTGGAAAACATTCCACGATCTTGTGGAACAGTATAACTCCTCCCATCCGCACAACACTCAGCTGGTCAATTATACACTTGACGAAGCCAAAGCTCTGGCATTAGATGACGCCTTTTGGAACTTTGGTCATCTCACACATCCTAACGAAGCTTGGGCTACAGATGCAGACACCCAGCAGGGGATTCAGGCCTACCTATTGTACTGTCGCTCCGAAGAGGAGTTACGAAGAATCTCACGTGAAGTAAGACAGATGCTGAAATGGGCTTTGGAAACGGATGCAAAGATTCAAAATGTTTTGACACTTTCACGCTCAAGTAGGTGCTTCTTACTTTCCTTAATCTCTGCATCTCTCTCATGATTCATTCAAACTTATTATTGTTAGGGTGGGACCCAAGAGCCGCGGTTCTGCCAATTGATTTGGTCACTGGAAGTAAGTCTGCGCGTATGACAAAGACATCGTGGGATGAGTGTAACAATGTTGTGGGATCTTTATACTGCGGCCTCCTCCTCGATCACGCAAGACTAATATGCAGATGGGACTGCCATCTCCTGTCTCTATTGCACCGCACCCGCGGTTATTTTGGTGCAACAGTTGCTGAGGATAATCTGTTAGAGTCAAGATGGAAGCTGTCCATAGAATTATCGGATGAGAAATGTGTTGTGTTTACATAAACTTTGAGACTTTTCATTTCTAATAATACTTGGCCGCATGATACGTCTGCTTGAAAAGGAGAACATGAGATGAGATAGAAATCTTGACAAGAATAGTTGTTGAGAAGTGAGGTCAGCTGAGTCTGTTGAGTGAGCGAGTGAGAATTGTCTCAAGGAAACAGATGAGTGCAGATGGAATCCCCCCACGAAAACAGCCAGTGTACAATTTTAGTGGATTTGTGCAGATGCACCCAGATGAGTTTCCCCCTTGATTTTGATCTTACAATCAATGGGATACATACATATGATGAATTTTGGGTCGTGAGCTATCAGATGAGTGCAGATGAATATGCCTCCAATTGTAATGCTATGTAGATGTATCATGAATTTCGAGTAAAAAAATTCGAGTGTCATCTGAGTGGACAGATCAGATGAGTCTTCCCCTTGATTTTAAAATGGGATACTTCATATGATGAATTTCGGGTTGTAGTTCATCAGATGAGTCCAGATGAATATGACCCCAATTTCAATATTTCGAGTGAAAGTTTTGATTCTTGTCCGGGTTGAAGGTGCTGTTTATGACAGATGAATCTGCAAGTTGTACTCAGATTGATCTGCCTCAACATAGCCGTGACTGTAGCAGATGAGTCTGACTACGACATGCAGATTTTGAATGAAAAGTGTTGAGCCTCATCTGAGTTTCATGTCCTGTTAATGACAGATGAATCTGCGAGCTGTAGTCAGATTGATCTGCCACAGTCATGGCTATGTTGATAGCCGTGACTGTAGCAGATGAGTCTGACTACAACTCGCAGATTCCATCTGCTGTCAGATTTGGTCAGATGAGCCTGGCTCTGCCTGATCTTGGGATTTTTACACTAATACAACCATTTTAAGGCATTGAAGGTGATGATGGTCTGTGCATCCCTTTTTTAGGTGTTCAGGTCATGCCTGATGACACATGAAATGAAGATTGATCATAAGTAAACTTGGTGAGAAATGACCTTGCATTTCAAAAAATTTCTTCAGATGACTCTGCTCGATCTGTCTTCATCTGCAGGCGGTTTTTCGGCTATAGGCCGTTGATAATGCACTACGTTATCTTTGGGTACACGCCGGGCTTTCTCGGTGCCACAGGTGCAGTCACCACCGACCTAATGACCTTTGTGAATGAGGTCAACACAGACTTTGAACGTCTTAAATCAGCCGGTTTTAGATGGGAGGAGGATGTGGTCAAGGGTATGGTTTACCAGCTATGCTCACCAACCTCTGGAGAGTATGGTATGGACATCCTCAACACGACGCTGGACGCACGTTACAGAACCGATCAATCACAATTTACGTCAAGTGAAATTCGCGCAACCTTTCAGAACTTAATCACGACTCGTAAGACGGTCAATCAAAACGAAGAAGTACATGCTCTAGCTACCTCCTTTTCTCAACGAATGAACCCCGCGACGTGGGGCTCTCAAAAGCCTAGACCAAAACCTCCTTTTCATTTGCCATCCACGAATCGCTATTTGACTGTACCAACCATCGGTACTTCACGTAGTGGGCCAAACTCTCCAGGACCCATTAGCCCCGACGGTAGCCTTCGAAAACAGTCGGAGGTTACGCCCATCATTCCAGGAAAGGGCGCAGCAAGAGAAGTACTCGCCGGTATCTTCCAATGTTTTCACTGTGCGGATTTTGGACACGGTTATGCGAATTGCCCGCTAGTTGCCATGGGTGAACCACGGGCTGCTCCTCATTTCTGGGACTGGCGCAAGTGCACGAACGATTGAACCTACAGCATTCAAGCCTTAGGACTACTCCCTCTCAAACAACCAGTCGTCAAAGCTCGTCAAATTCAAATCGACAACGTCCAATCCGGTTCATCCTCCGGACCATCTCAAGTTTCAGCTGCGACGGTGGCGTGGAGTGCAGAAGGCAACTCTCCTGATGAGACAGGCAAGGAGTACCTTTTGGACAGCGGAGCCACGCACCATGTAAGCAACGCCTTACATTCACTCCTAAACTACACCCCACTTCCTAATCCTATCGTGATGAAAACTGCCGCTCATGGCAACGACACATCGTTAATAGGAAAAGGGTGCCTTCGAGTGAAGACTCAAGATGGATCAGATTATCTCATACGCGACGTGTACTATAGTCCACAGGCCACCGGAACTCTCATCTCACAAGCGGCGTTAATTGAAGGAGGTGCCAAGATGTGGTTTTGGGGAAGCAACGTGATTATCAGAATGTTAAACAACAAATCTATCATAGCCTCTTATTGTAATCGTCAATGGGTCATAAACGCAATGAAATCCCCTGTTCTCTCTTCATCCGTGCCTGATCGAGTTGGGAAAGTGAGCGCAATGAGTTCCCAAAACGATACGGATGCTGCATACCTGTGGCATCGACGTTTCAGACATGTTGATATGAAACGTGTACGTAAGTTATGTGCAGGCCAGATGGGCCTTGGTTTGCCTAACGCTATTCCATCTGCTCCTTTCGTCTGTGAAGATTGTCTCACGTGCAAGAGTACTCGACGAAGAAAATTAGGACGTTCAGGACGCGAACACGGTCTCCTCGATGTGATAGTGTCGGACGTGATGGGACCATTCCCGGAGGACGTCAACGGTAATCGCTTCACGGTCACTTTTAGAGATGTAGCGACCACATTCTCTGACATTGTAATCATCAAGAATAAATCAGATGTTCCAGACACCTTCACTAAAGTCATAAATCGATGGGAGAGGGAGACGGGATTTAAAGTTAAACACGTGCGTACGGATGGTGGAGGAGAGTACATCAAAACAACTTTCAGCAACTGGTTAAAATCGAAAGGTATTCACCACGAACATTCTAATCCCTACGAGCCAGAACAAAACGGAGTTGCGGAACGACTCAACCGTACGATCAGTGATATGGGAAGGACGATGCTGGCGGCTTCGCACCTTCTGCAATCATTTTGGTCGTTCGCGTACGTAGCAGCATGCTACCTCCACAATCGACTGCCTAACTCACTCACGGGCGATAAAACACCTTTTGAACTGTTTCACGGTCGAAAACCACAGCTCGACATCATTCGAACGTTTGGAGCTACAGCCTTTATTCACAGACACGCTGGACAGAGAGACGGAAAGCTAGACGAGAGAGGGAGGAGGTGTATGATGGTGGGTTATGTGGATGGAGGAAAAGGTTGGATTTTCTACGACCCGAGATCAAAAGTTCTACTCAAAACTGGCATTGCTGAATTTCCCTACGAAGACAAATTTGCACAAGAAACACCTAGCGCAGAACCAGGACAACTGACTTCTTCAGATTCTCTCAACAAATTGCTCAGTGTACCTCCGAAGAAAGGCGCCTTAGAATTTATTATCAATGCATTACGTTTAGGTGACTTCACAGCTGAGAACGCGGTGATGGCGGAGGATGCTCAGGTAGAGGATTTGGTGAACAAAGTGGACTTGTCAGCGGGTTTGAAAGAACCGTCGAACTACAAGGAGGCCATGAAAGATGAATTTGGGAAGAAGGCGATTGAAGTGGAGCTGCAGGCGATGGAGGAGATGGGAGTGTGGAAAGTAGTAGATAGACCTGACAACGTTATAACTCTGGGTTTGAAATGGGTATTCAAGTACAAACAACTCGATTCAGAAGGAATGCCAATCAAATTCAAAGCTCGTTTAGTCGCACAAGGCTATGCACAACGGGAAGGGATCGACTACGAAGAAACTTTCGCGCCGACGGCGTGTATGGCATCTTTGCGTTTTCTTTTGACTCTTGCGGCACGTATGGGATGGCCAGTACATTCATTCGACGTGACGGCTGCTTACTTGCATAGTGATATCACTCAACGCATTTTCTTTAAACTCCCACCAGGCTGTATGGAAGAGGCGAGGAAGGCGAACAAGATACTGGAGGCTGTGAAAGCATTGTATGGGACAAAGCAGGGAGCAAGGTGTTGGTGGAAGCATTTTAAGAAGATTTTGATTAAGTTGGGGTTTGTACCGAGTCAGTTTGATCAGGCGTTGTATGTGTGTAAAAGAGGAGATGGGGTGTGTATTGTGTGGGTTCATGTGGATGACGGTGCGGTTACAGGAAGTAGTGTTGAATTATTGAGGGAGATCTCAACGGCATTGGTAAAAGATTTGAAAATCAGATGGAAGGAGTCATTGGATTGTATCATTGGTATTGATGTTGAACGCTTACCTGATGGATCGTTTGAGCTCTCACAGGCTGGTCTCACTAATAAAATTATTCGAGATTACCTAGAAACACCGGGCAAGGCAACTACTCCTCTCAATTCGTCGAACTTACCAACTTCACCTTTGGACGACGAAGAGAATATCGACAAGACAAACTATCTATCGGTAATCGGTTGTCTGAACTACCTTGCGGTGGCGACTCGACCGGATCTTACGTATGCGACGAACTTCCTGGCACGTTTCTCGGCGAGACCAACACGCCAGCACTGGGCTGCCATTCAAGGAGTCCTGAAATACTTAAAAACATCAGGTTGTGTCAAACTCAAGATCAAGCCTCTGAAGAACAAAGTCAAAACAGGTCTTCATACTTACGTAGATGCGAACTGGGGAGGCAAATACTCTAGGTCTGTTCATGGCTATGTCACTTTCTTCTTAGGATGCCCGTTATCTTGGACCTCTAAGCGTCAAGGATGTGTGGCTACTTCGACCTGTCATGCGGAATACATGGCTTTGGGGACAGCGGCGAGAGAAGCGGTATGGTTGAGGAATTTAGTAGAGGATGCAATAGGAGCAATGGGGCCGGTGAAGCTTTTCTGTGACAATACGTCTGCTATTCATGTATCCAAAGACAACTCATCAAATAAAAGAACAAGACATACGGATAGAGAATTCTATTACGTCAATGAACAACTTTTCAAGGGTACAGTTACATTGCACTGGATAGATTCAAAGAACCAGAAAGCGGATATCTTAACTAAAGCACTAGGCCCATTTCTTTTTGATGCAGGGAAGAGGAATTTGTGTTTGGAATGATTTTTTTCTTATTTTGTTTTCTCTCATTTCTTTTATGTTTGTTTCTCTTTATTTCTTTTGTTGAGGTTCTACGTTGCTTGTGGCTTGTTGTGGGGGGGGTGTTGTAGAGTTATGGGGTTACACAACTGCACCACAGGCAGTCACGTGATAGTTGTACAGCTTGTAGTAGATATGTTCTCTTCTCCTCGGCGGAAGCTTCCACATCATCATCTGTTGTGGAAGCCAACGTCTCGGAGTAAGAACTGACCCCGCCGCCGTCCTATTCGCTATAATTCTCAATCTCAGCAAAGTCCCACGCCGCGTCTCGCACGCTTTGACCTCGCTGCGCTCAAAGTGTGCGAGACGCGGCGCTGGACTTTTGTTGAGTTTTACATATTTCGGCTAACTTAACTAAGTCCCTCCGAGGCTCGACACCTTCTACATCCTGATTCAACTTGTTGATTGACAGGTGTCGAGCCTCGGAGGGACTTAGTTATGTAAGTTAGATATTTCGGCATGATCCTTCCCTAAACTTATCAAAGTCTCACGCTCGCGCCTACTCGCGAGGCGCTCGATTTGATACGCTTAATGCTTCCCGGCGATTCTCCTTTTCGTCTATTCAGGTTTATTCATCCCAAGAAGCTGTGTATCTATGTATAGTCATCGGGCCCCGCCCGATCTTGGACGGGCATCGGATGCTATGTGCATATGTGCATCATCTGACATCATATGTATCCATTGACTGAATCCCACGACCACCGAGATAACTCGAGCACATTCATGATCTCAAAAAATGTGGGTGAATTTTCATCGAAAACTTCGGCGTGGGAGGGCCCGACTCGTTGGAACTCTGTGCACCGCCGGTGCTGCGCACAGCTTGATGGTTGACCTGACACTGTGGCTTCCAGTTTGTTATTTGATGGGAGCTCTGTCGTACGGAACTTGATAAGTATTTAATGGCCTCATCAAGTCCGCTGAGATTTTTCTCCCCATACCACATTTCATCTAACCCCATACCTACTTTTATACCTTGAAAACATCTTGCTCTAGAAAAATCATAGCAACATTACCTCTTTCTCCACAGCTATCATGCGTTTCCACAATTTTGACTTGATGCTTCTCAGTTTATTCCTGATCGCCCTCACACACACCGCCTGCGCTCTCGAGTGTTGGAGGTTTACAAAACTTGATACCACGGCAGCCGGTGGGTTTCTTCCCTTTCTCAATGAATCTTACTGTCGTTTTATCCATCTTCTCATGAGTTGGTCGCTTTGTAACCGTAGCCTGCGAAGATCCACACAAAAGAACTAGCACACTATGTAAATTAAGCTCATGTTCCGCCAGCCAGATTTCTGTTGGTAATTGTTTCAAGCCTGGGGAAGGGCCCGTCACAAAAAGCTGTTACGCGTATGGACCGAGCCCTTCCAATGTTAACACAATCCCCGCGTGGGAGACCGCTAAAATAGGCAAGTGACTGGTTTACCTGGACTCGCCTGCAAGATTAACCGATTTCTTCATCAACTAACTGCGATGTCTTTGTGTCTAATTCACTATACTCATCCTTTAGAGTGCAAATCTGTTGATCAAACTGAAGGTACGCCATATACATGCGACGGTCCCCTCAAAAATTTGGCAAAAATAAGTAAGTCCAGATAGTCCACAGCTTCTTCATACGTTGTTTCCTGGTAAAAAATCATTGAACATGTGTTTGATCTTCACCAACAGCCTGCAACAGCTGCCAATGATTAGCTCTTTCATGGTTTGACTGTCTCGATGCGCAATCAATAGTTGCCTGGTAGTGCTACTGTCTTGAGTCTTGGGATCCAGTTTTGAAAGTACACGAGGTTGGAAATCCTCAGTGTGTTTGGGAAACTCGTCAGGACAGAATATAGACGTCAAAGTTTTATCCTTGAGCTCATGGTATGGATCAGCAAGCCTACACGGACATTCAAGCTCTTTTATCAATTTTCCTGTCTCTTCCCCTGTCTTTCTCATTTTTCTTCTGTGTAGTCCGGTTTTGTTTGAGTGCTTCCCAAATCTGCGACCTTTAAAATGTTTGCATACATTTGTATGAAGTAACTTGATGGAATGGTTTCGTGTTGTCCGTCGACGTGACTATCAATAAAGTGACTACAATCAGATAGAGACATTGTTAACTCGCAAGCTGTTGCTGCTTGTTGCAAGATATGAAGTGCGGCAAGGCAAACATGAGGCCTCCGACAATTCCGAGTAGCGCCACTGAAACGTACTGATGAGAAAACAGGACAAATCATTTGATTCATACCAATAAAACAGCTTTCCGGGGCTAATAACAGCTTCTTCATGTATGAGTTCCAAACAAAATGTAAACCAACGTTCATATGATAGCATTTGAAGGTAAAGCTTATAATGGCCGACTTCAAGATAATGGTAGCTGCGAGGATCTTCTTGAGACCTTGGACAGGCTGCGAGATCAACCTTTCACAAAGCTTGAAACATAGCTGGAAAGCCCAGCTCTACACACTCCACTTCCAAAACAAATTACTGGCCTGGTTCAATATAATCTGCTTTATTTGTAGTAACAAAGACTGATTTGCGGCATAAATTGCAAAGTATATATACCCATTGAGGCTGAAGATCCAGCTTTGAAATTCACCAATGAAAGACAAAGGACAGGATGGAGAAAGTAACTTCAGGAGTCACAAAGTGGATTCGGATTATGGCTTTTTCGATTTCACTGCTTCAAGTGAGCTCCTCTCGTTTTCCCAAACTGAATCACCAAAGCAGTTACCCAACCATTCAACCATTCTTACTTTTTATGTCTCTTTAGAACCCATTTTCTAGCGTGTTTCAATGCAAGTGAAGCAGAGTATGTGAGGATAGTAAGGACATAGCATCACACTTAGTCTTGAGTAAGCTTATCAATATTCCTCAACATGATTGCTTCTGAGGTTTATCTTGCAAAGATGCCTCGAATGTCATGATTTCTTGAATCCCATGGCTATGACTTCTCATCAGGGTTTGGCTATCTCGATGCACTTGCTCCCTGTTACTCTCAATGTCAAATGCATACGAGGCGGGAAATTTATAATGTGTTATCACTGAAGCCTGAGGAACTCTTTGCATTACTCTACATTGTGCATTCCGTTGCGTTGCGTTTTTCTTGGTATCAACGGTGAGAAGTATATGATCTCTAATGAAGAGTTTACGGATAAGCAATACGGGAATGAAGAGTAAACGAAATGATCGGACTGATGAAGCTTTTGTTGGAGTTTTCTATCTCATATTCTTGTAGTCTTTACCGATGCAGTGATTTCTGGTAGAAGTCATCCATACCCTAACAAACATACATTCTCAAACCAGATTCATTCAATCATTTTAACCCCATGTTCAAACACCTCTGCTTCTGGTCGAGGGGTGCAGTTTGGCTAATTAGTCACGCAGATCATCTCGTGATTCATTTGGATCTTGGAACGAAATCAAACAAAGCCAATTCAACACTGCCCAGAAGTTTCTCTTGGCACTTGTTCCGTCACATAAAGTGGTACATCAGTATAAAGGCTTTTTCAAGTGTATCAAATACTACATTTTGTTCATTTCTCACTCGTTCTAAAGACCCTAAATATATCTTCTACTTTCTACCAACCATCTAATCATAACAATAGCTTCTGAGCTGATCCAATCAATGCGGCTTCCTACTAAGAGCTTACCTATCCATTTCTTCTCGTACTAACCTCTCTTCCTCTTCAGCATCTTCTTCCGCTGACTTCATAACCCTTTGATGAGCCCTTTTCATCGGTGGTAATCGTTGATCACTTAATATCACTAAACTCTTGAGTTTCAAAAGTTGAACCAATGTATCATTGATCGGTGTAAGTACTCCATACTTTTCTCCTAATTTAGAAATATATCCATTGATATAATCAATTTCAGTTTGTTCATCTACTTCTTCTGATTTTTCATCGTCTTCTTCCCATCCATTAAGCTGTGATGCTTTTGCTTGTTTACTTCTTAATCTTGATTGTTTAATCTTGGCTGGAATTCGATCACTAGCTAATTTACGTACGTCTGCACACATTGATGAGATATTCGGTCCTGTGGCTTTCATCACTTGTCGTACGTGTCGAAGTAAATTCTGTTTAGCTAAAGGATGATCAAGTGGGAAGCCTTTTTCTTCCTTAGCTTGCAAAGCAAAAACAGTTGAAGCTTCATGACAGATCCCTTTGGCTAATCGTTCAAATGATCTTTCACCGACTAGTGCTTCATTTCGAGTCTCTAGGAGTGCAGTGATTGGGTTCAGAGCGGCGTTTACAGTTAGTTTCACCAGAGCCGAGGTCTGGAATTCAGGAAGCGTAAGCCATTTGGTACCGAGAGCTTCTACGATTTCTGGTTGAAGTAGGGCAGCAAGAGTGTGATGAAGAGAATGAGTCTCGGGTTTAAGGTGAGGTAGATGATGATCGAGTGTAGGAGTAATAGAAAGGGATGGGTTCATAAGAGGATTGGACTCGGAGGAGAGTGCAAGAGTTTGAGGCATCGATGTTGTAGCTGAAGTGAACCTGGTGTCACCAGAGGATGGATACCAATGTCCTCGATTTCCAAGTTCTGTTAAGCCATCGAGAACGGTTTGATTGGGTAATACACCTAGCTTGAGATCTCCCATTCCAGAGTGACAGAAGCGGCCATGTGAGGGTTGTATACTAGCGTCGTCTTCCTCTGGTTCGCCCTCATTCAGTTGAGGATAACCGCTATCGAGCTTGAGAACACCATGAGAGGTGTTGGCCAAGATAAAGCTGGGTCGAGATTCGGGATGTGGAAAACAGCTTCCAAGAACTTCTTCTATAACACCTAAACCATTATGAAGCAAAACAATAGTAGAAAGCCTAGAAATCCTATGAAGCAAAGGTTTTAATGATTTACTGAGCTGATGAGCTTTTGTAGTAACAATTAAACTTTCAATTGGTTGTTGTTTTTGAGATGTTAAAAATTCAAATTCGATTCCATTGATCGATTTGGTTAATGAATCTTTTTCAATTTGAAGTGATAAACTTTTAGGTGATGATCGATGTTGAATTTGAGGTTTTCTTAGTATAAAATTGATTGGATAAGATTTAGATCTGAGATGGAAACAAACTAATGAACCAATCGATCCAGCTGAAAAGGTTTTACACAAAAAGGACAGAACCGATTTCTTAGGATCTCTTTAAATTTGTTGTACTTGTTTTCTATGGATGAGTTGAGTTGCTGAGCACGTACGGCCCAGACAATGGATCCTGATCATATCTTGATGAAATTGTGGATTCTTCTGTTGACCATGTTCGAATGTTGACCAGGAAGTGATTTGGTGACTTTTCCTGTTGACTTTTCTGATACATATACGATCCGGGCATGAAGCCGGGCGCCCCCGGGGTAGACCCCGATCCACCCCGTGGCGGCCTTCATCATACATGGTTTCAGGCCCTGATAGCTCGGGTATTCTCCCAATTGACTGGAAAACCATCTTATTCCCATGTTTGCTGTTTTCCTGATCCGCTCTTCATTGGACAAGTGTGAAGTTCTAGGTTATTTGATGTTTGCCAAGTCTGAGGTGAAGGTTACACTGTTACACTACACAAGGTCAGCTGGTTTCCTGGGGAATTCACAAAAGTGAGCAATTGACATGAAAAATACAGCTGTTTTGACAACAAGTGTTGGTCCCTAATTTTGTGTTCAAATCTGTGGGGCCTACACTGGGCAATCCTACCTTCCAACTTCCTCTGGTGCTTTCAAAGCCACCCACATATAAAACTTTAATAACAAAGGAGTCAGAGGTAATGGAGTGCATGGCAGTACAGTTTACAAATTGGGAACTTTTCTCAGGGTTTCTACATTTAAAAAACTAGGAGTCTTGCAAATTCCCTTAGGTTCCCTTTTTAATACAGTTATATCTCCTCTGTTGCACAATCTTGAATCTCTTCGCTGCCCTTCAAAATGTTTCCAAGATTTGACATACAATTTCTCTTGTGACTCTTGATGAAAGAATTCAGAGAACAGTGTGACTGGGTATTCATATGTTCTAGAAGGTATCTCTACATCATAAATGCATGTATTTCATGACAAAAGTCTTAAAGGATTTTGTGATCCAACTTATAAGACCTTTGATCCATCTGAAATTCACATGTATAGAAACTTGTATAAGATAGTCTACATCACCCATCCACTGCTGCATTGGATATCAATCCCTCATCCAACTGTTTTGTCCAAGATTTCAGTTACATTGAGCTGTGTTTTGAAGATCCTTCCCTGTGTGTCACCCTTCCACGCAAGGCTGGTGTTGTCAACAACGTACTTTTAGTCATGCAAGCCTCATGACAAGTGGCGTAGAACTGAAAACTCAACAAGAGCTTTACAGAGCTTAAAGGGGGATAACCTACTAGTATAACTAACTAATAGAAGTTGCCTGAAGACTGCCTCTTTGAAAGAACTGACGCAGAGATTTGGATGAGGCAGCAGAGAAATGTTTACCAATACTCAATTCAAGTATTATTCCCGTAATTTATAGAAGAGGAAAGCTCAACACTGCTATAGTGTTATTCCAATAGGAACTCAACAAAACACAATTTTATTAACCAAAAACAAAGCAAAAATCAATTAGATTGTTATTCCAATGAAGAGTGGTAGTCTTATCATACAAAAAGAAATTCCTCCTTTGATATAAAGGGGCTACTTAGTGAACTTAGAACTGAGATAGTAATGTAATAATGATTAAAACACTGTAACTAATGTATAAGATGAGAAAAAGTGGAAAAAAGCCCGTGAAACATCCACCAAGAGTATATGGCATCTCTACAGGCATCCAGTTATGGTAAACAACCATCAAAAACCAACAAAAACTTGACAAAATCCCTCAAAAAACCTCAAAAAACCTATGATGTAATCTTATGACAAACTTATTACTAATAAGTGACATGATTTAAACTCTGAACTTGATCAATTGATGTATATAAATAATGGGCAGGTCTTTTTACACTGCCAGCATTACATAAGTTCCCGGGTGGGAAAGCAACCTAGGCTGGGAACATGATTGAGAGTGGAATGTGTCATGAAATCATCTTGCACTTTACAACTGAGCCATAAAGCATATGCTACATATGTGCAAAAATCTGATTAAATCCTTAGCAATCAGCTACATATAGATCAGAACAGTTATCTGTTCATCTGGATAAGAAAAGTGCATGTAATACATGCTGTAATTTTGTTCATATTGAGACAAGCATCTTGAAAGATTGACTATATATATCACAATGGCTACTTGTGAAATATTTATGGAGAGTTTCAACAGTTGCCAAAGGGGAACCTGGTACCTAGGACCCACTTTACCATCTGTGAACCTCTTTAATGCTGGTAGTTTCATGATGAATACAGGTAATGTTTTCTTTATATTCATAGCTGAAACCCAATTTTATAATTTTGACTTTTTTAAAAAGTGCTCCAATTTTTGGTTACTACAGCTCATCTTGTAGATATGATGATTCTGATCAATGCTTGTCATAACACGACCTACTTCTGATGTGTGATGAATGAGTTTTTGTGTTGTAAAGATTGATAAAATAAGCTTTTTGTGCTGTAAATGCTGTTACATGTGTGTAGGTCAGTGCAAAAGTTGAAATTCACTCCATTCTCTTTGATTCCTTATAAGATTTTCAAAAATCCTCTGTTACTAGTGGTTTAAAGGTTTTTATGAAGTGAAACATTCTGTGTTGATTGAGCCAACACCCCCCATATGAGGAGTCAAAAGACAAATAACAGGAGTATGATTAGAATATGAAATAGCTAAAAAGGAAATAACAAAAATGCTGTACAATTATAAGGGCGTGTTCACTTAAGGAAATTCTGACCAGAAATCACATTCTGTGCATTTTTTAATGCAAAAATGAAACATGCTCCGCCAGATAGACACTTCAAATTTTGCAGAATGTGATTTCTCCCCAGAAATTGCTTAAGTGAACGTGCCCTAAGTCTTTTGGCCTCCATGTGCTGTAAAATTCTAAAATTCCAACTTTTGTTTGCACGTACATGTGAACATGGGCCCCTTTGTGCAAACCAATTCCCGCCTGTGGGACAGCCAGGTGTTACTAATTTGGAATTACAAATAGAGAAACTAAGGGTGCGTTTACTTAAGGAATTTCTGACCAGAAATCACATTCTGTGAATTTTTTAATGCAAAAATGAAACATGCACCACCAAATAGACACTTTAAATTTTGTAGAATGTGATTTCTCACACAACTCTGTACCGCCAACAATCTCAAATTCTGATTGGAACTATTCCAAATGTACTTTTTCTAATCTCAACTGATCGCAGCTCATTTATCATCCAATATCATTCAACATCAATTCTGCATAATCAGAATGCTATTGAAGGACCTTGCAAAATGGAGATGCTCAGTGGTAGCATGATGGATGTTCATTAGCACTTTTGTCTACTTTTTTGTGCAAGTGCACAATGTCCTCCTCCTGGTATAGACAGAGTCTGTGTATTTTGCATGCATCATCACCAATTGTTGGATTTATTTGTGCTTCAAGTGTCTTACTACATATTTAATGTATTTCTCATAAATGTATTTCTGATCTTGTCCATTTTCGTTGTTCTCAATTTGACTACATTACATCATATAGCCCAATCAGGAACATTACAACAATGGTCTTGTGACGTCATTCATTATAATTTCATTTTTGTGTTTTCTTTATAACCTGTTGTTGAACACCAGTCTGATAGTTTTCTTTTCTCATCTGACTGTTTCTTTACAAAATCTTACCATAAGATTTTTGTGTCTTTTTGTTTTTCATCTTATACTAAGATTTTGTTTTTGTGTTGGGATTCAGTCCAACACCAATAATTGGCTTGGCCTGTTTACAATCACTGCCAGGAGTAAATACTGTCCTAATTGGGATAATGTGTCGCTTTTTTGGGATAGTTAATTTTTGCCATATAAATTTTAAGCAATTAATGTAAAAGTGATCATTATTCCATTAGGGACAGTGTTTAATCCTGGCAGTGAATGGATAGATCAGCATGTGATGATGTATCCATTTTGGTTCTTTGTATTTCTCATATGATCCAAACTTAGAATTGGCATGATCAGCCACTTCCAGAAGGTTGGATATCACCATTACTCAATGTCTTGCTTTCTCTGTTTGGATTTGGTGATTGGATGCTTCGAGGGATGCTGTGTTGACTGTGCAGATGCTTTGAATCTTGATTTTTGAAATCCGTCCTGTTGGCGGGCGGGAAACGGGAATCACAACAAGTCTGCTGATGCTCACACATACATGTGCTCCTCAGGTAGGGCTTTCTCAGAGTATTTCAAACTTTCAACAATTATAAGCAGCATCTTGCTGTAGGCACAGTTCTGTTTTAGTGCTTTTTCAAACTTGAACTGCCCCAACAGCGGAACCGCTCCGCAACGCTATGGATTTGGTCCCATATGTGTTGCGGAGCGGAGCCTCTGCTATGAGCGGGACCACTATCCAATTGCTATTTGATATAAAAAATCTCTGACAAGATTGCGGAGCGGTAAAAACACTCTTTTTGCAATATATAGCGTGCTATGAAGGCACCATATTTTACTTACATAGGACACTAGATAGACGATCAGGGGCAGTTACATGCACTGCCCAATCAATGAAGTAGCCTCGCTAGATATTTTTGATGTCATTGGATATAAATTATCAGTGACTGATGAAGGTAGACAAAACAGTAAGATAAAAAACCAATCAAAAACTTACCCAACTGATGATGACCTTGATATCATCAACATTTAGGGATTGAGGTCTACGATAATCAGGAGTGAATTTGATAGTTCTTTTGTTTTGTATCTGATTATAAGCATCAGGAAATCCAGTGGTGTCAGGCCAAAGACAAGCATTTAAAACATTGCTGGGAAAGAACGATCGAAAGGTATCATTGAAAGCATACGAGAAAAGACGAGTAATC